GTCGGACGCTTAACCGACTGTGCCACCCAGGCGCCCCTCTAGTGCCCTTTCACACCTGTCTTCTGACCCTCATCCTCTCCTGGGCTCATCCTTTTCCCTAAGTATCCAGGGCCACCTCCCTGGTCTCCACTGCTGACTTCCTCTTCCCTTCTCCAGGATGGCCAGACGTTACCCCCTGCAATTATCATTGACACTGATGCCCCATACTTAATAAAGTCCAGCAAGGTGAGGAAGTAGGATCAAACAACATTTGGGGTATTACAAGGGAGGCTTTATCAGCTACATAGTCTCAAATGTCTTTTAATTACAGGAAAGCCCCAGAGGATCTGAGAAACTAAAGAGTCTAATCCTGCAATTTCTTCAGCAGTAAGTACTTTAGAGACCACAAGAAATGGGGACTGGATGCTGAGAAAGGTCTGTTCATGGGAGTTCTCAAGTCTCATTTGAGGTCCAGACCCCAGAGATATACTATCCTCATTGCTTCCCCACAGGTACTATTTGATCTATGACTCTGAAGACCGCCAAGGTCTCCTCTGTGCTTACCACTACAAGGCCTGCTTCTCCCTGACCATTCCCTTCAACCCCAAAGACCCAGCCCCGTGAGTAGAAAAGCTCAGACTCTGATCCTGGGTTGTGTGACTCCCCAGTGGATGAAGGACAGCTCCTGGAAACACCCACACTGGCCAGACCATCACCTCCTCTTCCTCTTTGTCTCCCTAGAAGCAGCTTATGCAAGTACTTCAAGGAAAGCAGGAATATGAAGAAGATCAAGGACCCCTGTGCGTGTTTGATGGGGAAGATTGTGCAGAGAAAGGGGGGGGGGTGAGGGGGTAATCATAAGGCACAAGGTGTGGCAGCCCCTGACCTTCACTTGTTTCTCTTCCCCCCTATAGATATGCGTGTTCAGCTGCTGAAGCATACAAAACATGACATTGTGTGCTCCCTCAGCACACTGCCCAAAACTCAGCATGACATCAACTCCTTCGTGGTGGACATGTGGTTCCATACGGTGAGCACCTGCTTCCTCCCAAGGGCAGCTCTAGAAAACCACAGCTGGGTAGGAAGTTTAGGTGACTTAGCACCTGGGTTATTCCTTTTTAGGAGATGATGCTCTGCTTCTCTGTCAATGGGGTGTTCAAGGAAGGTGAGTATATGTTGGACCCCCTCTGCAGATTCCCCACTGCTCCCTTCCCTCTGATTGGGCTCCCTCTCAACTTTATTTCCCCTTCTCTTCATATTGCAGTGTTCTCTTGCCTCCACTCAGCTCCCAAACCATCCTGATCTGACATGGGTCCATGCCCATCTGCCCTGCAGATCTCAGGCATTAGGGACACAGGCTATGTAGCTTGATGGCTCTCATCCCAGATCCTCACTCGGAGAAGGAGGGCCCATTAATTAAGCTTCCAAGTTTCCTCATTTTCAAAATGGGGCTAATAACACCCATCTTTTGTGTGCCTGTGAAAATGCATCAAGTGAATTCATAAAGTTATTTACACAGGGCCTAGCACATAAAAAGGTCTGTGTCACTGGGAGCAGACTGTTCCTATTGCCCTCCCCATTCCCGGCATCCTGACTTTCATAGAACAATTGTACCCTTCAACATGAATATCAAGTTAAACTCTGACTGGGGAATGCTATGTAAGCATGTGAAGCATGTTCAGTTCTAATGAACTGAACAGTTGCTTGTTGTTTGTTGTTGAAGTGGAAGGAAGGTCTCAGGGTTCTGTTCGCGCCTTCACCCGGACCTTTATTGCTACACCTACCAACAATTCCAGGTGAGTGCTGTGTTGTGTGTAGAAACACCCCATTCAGCTGAGATTCAGGGGTTTGGGAATGTAGCACTGTAGGTCCTTGAGGTTTTGTCAGTATTGTGGAAAGTATTATTCTTGCCTAGTGGTTAAGAGCATGGGCTCTGGAGTCAAAGCATTGTGTTATTTTCCTGACCCCAACATTCACTAGGTGAGTGACCTTGGCCAAATCACATAATCCTTCAGTGAAACAGCATCTTCCTCTGAAAATGGTATTAGACTATCCTGCCCCTTGGACTGTTTTTGCATAATAAATGCATTGGGTTTAAACTTACAAATCTAGTGAAGCTAGTAGACAAACTCTCCACAGGTGCATCTGTGGGAGGGCTAGAGTTACCACCCAGGGAAGCTATGGGACAGGCACAGTTAGGGGTATGGAAGGAATCTGGTTGCTGAGAGACAGTGGCAGCAGGGTCATTGTTAGGGGTGTGGGATTGTCCATTTGTCAGTTGTCTGAGGGTCCATTTTTCCTCCAGTCTATGCATCGTGAATGACGAGCTGTTTGTGAGAGATGCCAGCCCAAATGAGACTCAGAGTATGTCCTCCATCCCAGTGTCCTCATCCACTTCCAGCTCTGTGTTCATCCTCTCCAAGGAGCAGCAGGAAATGGTGCAGGCTTTCTCCACTCAGTCTGGGATGAAACCTGAGTGGTCTCAGAAGTGAGATTGGGTATACAGGGAAATAAGAGGGAGCTGGGAGAATAAATAATAGGAATGCATAAGCAATTTGAAAAATAAGTATTTGGATATTTTGCTTCCCCAAAAAAGAAGGCCTATGAATAAAGTATCCTAATTTTATGATGATATATATTAAAAACTTTTAAAACATTATAATGTTCCTATGACAAGACCTTGCATATGGAAAATCCTAGGTAATTCACTAAGAAACTATTAGAATATCAATACACAAGTTCATTCAAATATGTTGGAATAAACTGAAGACCTAAAAAATGAATAGACATGCTATGTTCATGAATTGAAAACCTTTTTAAGATAGAAATACTACTTAAGGTGGTGTACATATTCAACATAATTCGTATCAAATTCCCAGTTTGCTGCTTTCCAGAAATTGATAAAGTGACCCTAAAATTCACATTAAAATGCAATGAATTCAGAATAGCCAAAACAATATTTAAAGTGAAGAATAAAGTTGGAGGACTCAGAATTCCCAATCCTCACAATTTTGAAATTCATTGGTAAGGTATTATAATCAAGATTGCATGGTACTAAAATTTGGGTAGACATATAGGTCAATGTAATAGAATTAAGACTCCAGAAATAAACCCTGACATTTATAGTCAATTGATTTCCAGCTAAGTGCCAAAAAAAATTAATGAAGAAAAAAAAATCTTCCCAACAAATAATGCTGAGACACCTGGATATCCACATGCAAAAATAAATAAATAAATAAATAAATAAAAATAAATTTGACTCATGCCACGCATATCAACTCAAATTGATTAAAGATCTAATGTAAGATCTGTAACTATAAAAACTCTTAGAATAAAATATAAGTGTATAACCTTCATGAACTTAAAATAGATAATGGTCTCATATATGACATGAAAACACAAGCAACCAAATAAAAACAGACAAATAAATTAGACTTTATCAAAATTAAAAGCCTTCATGCATCAAAGGACACTGCTGAGAAAATATAAATACAACCTACAGAATGGTAGAAAATATTTGCAAATCTCATATGTGATAAGGTCTACTATCGAGCATACCTGAAAGACTAACAATTCAATGATAGGAAGACAACCTAATTTAAAAATGGGGAAATTGTTTGATGAACATTTATCTTAAGATATACAAATAAATGGGCAACAAGTACATGAAAACATGCCTAACATCATTAGTCATTAGGGAATGCAAATCAAAAACAATGAGATACCACTTCACAGTCATGAAGATGGCTTTAGTCACTGAAATGGAAGATCAGCATAGGTGAGGATGTGAGTAAATTAGAACTCTCATATATTACAAGTATGAGTGTAAAATGGAGCAGTGGTTAGGGAAAACGTTTTGGCAGTTCCTTAAAATGTTAAATGAAGTTACCATATAAACCAGGAATCCCACTGTTAAGTATACACCAAGAGAAATAAAGGTATGTTCACTCTAAAACTTGTACAGGAACGTTAATAGCAGCATTATCTATAATAGCCAAAAAGTGGAAACAACCCAAATGCCCTTTAGCTGATAAATGGATAAACGAAACTGGTACATTCATATGGTAGAATATCATTCAGTCATAGAAAAGAATACAGTTCTGATGTATGCCATGACATGGATGAACCTTGAAAACATTATGCTGAGAAAGAAGCCAGCCTCAAAAGGTCACATAGTGTATGATTCCATCTCTATGAAATGTCCAGCATAGGCAAATCCACAGGGACCAAAAGCAGATTAGTGGTTTCCAGGGCCTGGGGAAAGGGGAGGAATAGGGAGCCATGTCTAATGTCTAGGGAGTTTCTTTTTGAGGTGATAAAATTATTTGGGAATTAAATAGTGGTGATGGTTGAGCAATCTTGTGGATATACTAAGAAAACAATTGTACACTTTAAAATGGTATGTACACAAAAATAATAACACAATGGTATGTACATTATATCTCAATAAAAAATGATTGGAAACTTGTACTTTTAATAAATTTCCATTTATCTACTTGAATGTTTTTCTTTATCAACATATATTAAACTCCCTTGTTCTTTGGAGAGCTCTAATTTTCTGTTTTGAAGTCTAGTGGGCATGGCATTTTGTGTCAATGTGATAGACATTTTCACTAGGTCTTTCTTCACCATTACACATAGTGCTCATACTGGTGGTACATGAATACCAGCAAAAAGGTGGCATATATTTAGCATTGCATGGTCAGCGTCTCTGTACTGTGGTACTAATGGAGGTCATCTGTCCTCCCACTCCAGGTGCCTTCAGGACAATGAGTGGAACTACACCAGAGCTGGTCAGGTCTTCACTATGCTCAAGGTGAGGTCTGGGATCCATTAGGTTGGTTACAGATGGGTGCTTCTGGGCCTTCAGGAAGGCAAAGAAGGTGGAGGCTGGGTAGCTTGGGAATGAAACTCTGGGGTCTGGCTCTTCTGACGTCCCAACTCCTTCCCTTCAGAATGAGGGAAAGATCCCAGAGGACGCCTTCAAGCAAATCGCCTAGAAGAAGCCTTGGATGTCCACATCATCTTGGTTGTCTTTACTCCAGCCTAAGGTCATGTTCATGGCTGGGGATGGAGGCCAGGCTAACCATGAAACCAAAGTTATCTTTAACTAGCAGGCCAGGTGACATAACCACCTGAAGTATTAGTTGTTCTGTGTATTTCCCCCACTCGTGATTTCTGTTTATCTTCATAATAAAGAGTGATGCTGCATGTTGTATGTGTGTCCTAGATTGCTCTTCCCCTACCCCAAGCATGAGGCAATGGGTCCAGGACTGAAAAGCCCTGCCCTCTCCTCCACATTATTCACACTGGCGGCCCCTTGCAGGTACACCAGGCTTGACTTCATAGGTAGTGTGTCAATAAATTCTGATGAGAAGGGACACGCACTGCTTTCAGGGATTGGTCTTAGGAAACAGTGTGGCTCAATCAGATGCTCTACCTGGAGGCATGCAGAAGCAGCCATGTGACCTGGAACAACAGGGGCTTTGCAAGGGTTGCCTACTGGCTAGTGAGGGCTGTGGAAGGAAGGAAGATGAGGACTCACCTATTTTACTTCTTATTCCTGATCATTTGAATGCATTCAAAGGCACACCATCAACAGTTTTATGATTTGCACACAGGTGAATGGGAAATGGGCCTTTTCACACCTCTCACCATGCTTGCATTTGTCTTCTCATCCATCCACTCTACTGCCCCCTCATCCTTTCTGAAAGTGCACTGTAGGAGGGATCTCACTTCAGCACCTGAGAGTGAGGGAGAGTCAGACTGTCTCCCCAGTTAATTTCTCAGACAGCTGACAAGGGTGCTCTATATCCATGTATTTGGGGTGGGGAGGGGATTCAGACATTTTGCTTCATTCCAGACAGACAACAGTAGCATAGAATCTCACATTATGGCCAGTTCTGTAGGACCTTTCTCAACGACTGGCAATTGGAAGTTCAGAATTGCAGGCAAGAGTTGAAAGGGACACTTGTACAATTTATTTTCCATGCTTCTGTAACATTTGGACTTTAGACCACCAGCAGGCATTTTTGAAATTTTTGAAATTAAAATAATAACAGTAACAAATTTCAAGTTGCCATCCTATAAGTGATGACACAGGTGAGGTACCACCAGTTTACAAATTATGCCTCTATTATCAGGTCTCACACAAGTTATTTCCTACCACTTGCCACTTTACAGTTCTTTATGTACATTTACAGGAGGAACCCATATAGTGGTGTGTGAATTTCTTGGAAATGTGAACTAAGGGAATAATTGCTATTACATAAGGAGTAATTCCATGTTATTCTATGTAGTGTCTCAGTGATCAAAGACAAGAAGTGCAAAGACAGAGACTGCAGTGCACACCTTCCAGCCATATTGTGAGGAACAGAGGCAGCCTAGATGTTAGCAAGAAATTTCAGTATCTGGCTCAAATTAGGCTCTCCAAGTTGTCTGAGTTCCCTCATGGGCAGGGACCATGGTACCTATCTCATGGCCCCTTTACTTATTCTCTCCACATCATTATATATACATCATTAGGTTTCCACATCCTTGGCCTCATCCCCTAGCTAACTCAGATGCCATGGTCCTCCAGTCACTCATTCTTCTGCCAATCCTCCCAATTCCTTTGGTCCCTTGGTACAAAGGCATCAAGTTTATGGACAACTCCAAGATGCACTTATCACAAAGGCTGCTGCTGGAGATGGCTGGTGGACCCCTCACTGTACCCTATCATGACCTAGAAGCCTCTGTGGGAAAGGAACCCCAGAAGCAGCTGCAGGAACTCCAGGAAGAGCAGCCTTGATGATGACTTTTTCTATCTCCAAGTAACTTCTGTGCCTTCACTAAAAATCCTTCTGATGCCAGTTTGTTACTCTGCTTCCAACACTTTGTCCCAGATCTTGCTTTGAACTAATACCCTCATCTCTAGGATCCATGCCTGGGAAGTCCACCCCTAGCTCTAGTGTATAACTTCTGCTTAATCGTCCTAAATATGGATTCTATTTGCCTCCGTATAAGGCCTTAATGTTACCATTTTTTAATGATCACAAAATTTATCTTCAGGCACTGCTCCTTATTTCTATCACCCTATAACCTCTGTGCTGGATAAAGTCAGTTATTGGACGTGATCACATCACCCCTTCAGTGACTATATCCAAGAGCAGAAGTCTTAGACCTAGATCATGCAAAATTAGACACTGTCCCACACCCCAGTAGTATAAAATAAAGCAGGGAGAAGTGCTGTGTGTAGCACCCTAACTTGCATCAAAGAAAGGTAGTAATGGTAAGATGGCATGATTTTGGGGGGGGAGGGGTTAGGAAAGGCAAGTGTCTGTGTCAGGGTCTGAAATTTTGCAGTTTTAACAGGATCCCAGCTGTGATGGCTAATTTTATGTGTCAACTTACCTAGACTGTGGTACCCACATATTTGGTCAAACATTATTCTGGATTTTTCTGTGAGGATAGGTATTAGATTAATATTTAAATCAGTAGGCTTTGAGAAAAGCAGGTTACTCTTCATTATGTGGGTAGGTCACATCGAATCATTTGAAAGCCCTGAGAAAAGACTGACCTTCTTGAAGGGAGAGGGAATTCTGCCAAGGAACCATCTTCAAACTTGAACTGCAGCTCTTCCCTAGGTCTCCAGCCTTCCAGCCTCTCCTGCAGTTTTGGGGCTTGTCAGGTTCCACAATACCATCAGCGAACTCCTTAACTAAAAACAAAGAATGAACAACTATACACCAACAAACTGGACAACCCAGAAGAAATGGAAAAATTCTTGGAAACATACAACCTACTAAGATGGAATTAGGAAGAAATAAAAAAAATTTGAACAGACCAATTACTAGTAAAAAGATTGAATGAGCATGAAAAAAAATCTCCCAATGAAGAAAAGTTCAGGACCAGATGGCTTCACTGGTGAATTTTACCAGTTATGGAAAAAATAATGTCAATCCTTCTCAAACCCTTCCAAAAAAATGAAGATGAAAGAACACTCCGAAATTCATTTTATGAGGCCAGCATTACTTTTATATCAAAACTAGAAAAGGGCACTACCAGAAGAGAAAACTGCAGGCCAATATCCTTGATGAATTTGGATGCAAAAAATATCAATAAAATATCAGCAAACCAATTCCAGCAACACATTAAGGGATAATTCACCATAATCAAATGGGATTTATCGCTGAGATGCAAAGATGGTTCAACATATGTAAATCAGTAAATGTGATACATCACATCATTAGAACAAAAGAAAAAATTATGTGATAATTTAATAGATGCAGAAAAAGCATTTAACAAAATCCAACATCTATTCATGATAAAAACTCACAACAAATTAGTTATAGAAAGAACTTAACATAACAAAGGCCATATATGACAAGCCCACAGCTAACATAATTCTCAAAGGTGAAAGGTTAAAACCTTTTTCTCAAAGATTAAGAATAACACAAAAGTGACCACTTTGACCACTTCTACTCAACATAGCACAGAAGTCCTTGCCAGAGAAATTAGGTGTTAAAAAGAAATAAAAGGCATAAAATGGAAAGAAATAAGTGAATTTATCTCTATTTGAAGATATTATTTTATACAGAGATAATCTTAAATATTTCACCCAAAGCTGTTAGATCTAATCAATGAATTCAGTAGTGGTAGTATACAAAATTAACATACAAAATTCAGTAGCATTTCTATACACCAACAGTGAATTCTCTGAAAAAGATATAAAACAATCCCATTTACAGTAGCACCAAAAGCAATTAAACTTAGGAATAAATTTAACCAAGGAGGGGAAAGATCATTACACTGAAAACTACAAAACACTAATTTAAGAAATCAAAGAAAACACAAATAATTGTAAAGATATCCTGTTTCATGGATGGAAAGAATATTGTAAAAATGTCCATACTACCCAAAGCCATATATTCAATGCTATCCCTATCAAGATTCTAATGGCATTTTTTTGTGAGGGAAATGGAAAAAACAATCCTCAACTTTATATGGAACCACAAAAGATGCTAAATAACCAAAGCAATCCTAAGAAAGAAGAACAAACTGGGAGATATACATTTCCTGATTTTAAGCTATAGCACAAAGCTATAGCAATAAAAACTACATGGTATTTGGCATAAAAACAGACACATAGACCAATAGAACAGAATTGAGAGCCCAGATATAAACCCAAGTATATACAGTCAACCAATATTTGACAAGCAAACCAAGAATACACAATGGAGAATAAGCTATCTCTTCAATAAATGGTGCTGGGAAAATTAGATATTCACATATAAAAGAATAAAACTAGACTTCTCTCTTTTACTATAGGTTTTGTAAGACCTAAAACCATAAAACTCCTAGAAGTAAACATAGGGAGAAAAGCTCCTTGACATGAGTCTTGGCCATGATTTCTTGGGTATGACACCTTAAGGGCAAGCAACAATATAAAAAATAAGCAAGTGGAACTACGTCAAACTAAGAAGCTTCTGCACACACACACACACACACACACACACACACATAAATAACAAAACAAAAAGTCAACCTATGCAATGGGAGAAAATTTTACAAATCATATATATGATAAGGGGTATCCAAAATACATAAAATACATTTGCAACTCAATAACAACAAGCGATCCAATTAAAAAATGAGCAAAGGCCTAAATAGACATTTTCCCAAAGAAGATAGAAGTGGCCAACAGATACATGAAAAGGAACTTAACTTAGAGAAATCCAAATCAAAACCACAATATGATATCACCTCATACACGTTAGAATAGCTATCATCAAAAAGACAAAGAAATATAAATGCTAGTGTACACTTGTCTACTCTTGGTGGTGTGTATAACCATAAAAAAGAAGAAACTCTGCCATTTGAGACAACATGGATATACCTTGAAGTCATTATTCTAAGTGAAATAAGTCAGACAGAGAAAGACAAATACTGTATGACTTCAATTATATGTGAAAAAAAACCACAAACAAACTCATAGAAAAAAGATCAGATTTGTGCTTTC